AGCTACTCTATGTTTAAGAGCAAGTTTCAGAGTCTCTTCTGACATCCATTTTGGTCTTTCTTTCCTTTTGAATGACCTTTTGCTTTCTTCATGTCATCCCACAACTAACTCATCTGGTCTTCAGTCATTAGTGTTTAATGCGTCAAATCTATTCTTGAGATGGTCTTTAAATTCAGGTGGGATATACTCAAGGTTGTACTTTGGCTCTGGTGGACTTGTTCTTATTTTCTTATGCTTCAACTTAAGCTTTCATATCAGCAACTAATGTTCTGTTCCACAGTCACCCCTGGCCTTGTTCTGACTGATGACATTGAGCTTCTCCATTGTCTCCACAGATGTAGTGGATTTGATTCCTTTGTATTCTATCTGGTGATGTCCACGTGTATAGTCACCGTTTATATTGTTGAAAAAGGTATTGCAATGAAGACGTCATTGACCTTGCAAAATTCTATCACACGATCTCCAGCATCATTTTTATCACCAAGACCGTATTTTCCAACTACTGATCCTTTTTCTTCGTTTCCAACTTTCGCATTCCAATCAGTAGTAATTGTCGACGCATGTTGCTTGCATGTTTGATCAATTTCAGACTGCAGAAGTTGCTAAAATCTTCAGTTTCTTCATCTTTGGCACTAGAGGTTGGTGCATAAATTTGAATAATATTTACATTAACTGGTCTTATTTGTAGGCATATGGATTTTATTCTCTCACTGACAGCATTGTACTTCAGTATAGATTTTGAAATATTCTTTTTGACAATGAATGTAGTGCCATTCCTCTTCAATTTGTCATTCCTGGCATAATAGGCCATATGATTGTTTCAAAATGGCCAATACCAGTCTGTTTCAGCTCACTAATGCCTAGGGTATTGATCTTTATACGTTCCATTTCATTTTTTATGACTTCCAATTTTCCTAGATTCATACTTTGTACATTTCATGTTCTGATTTTTAATGGATGTTTGTGGTTGTTTCTTCTCATTTTGAGTACTGCTACTTCAACAAGTAAAGGTCCTCAAAGCTTTACTCCACCCACATCTTTAAGGTCAACTCTACTTTGACTAGGCAGCTCTTCACCAGTAGTATTTTCAGTGCCTTCCTATCTGAGGGACTCATCTTCTGACACAATATCAGAAATGTTCCATTGCTATTTATAAGGTTTTCACTGGCTTTTTTTTAGAAGTAGATCACCAGATCCTTCTTCCTAGTCTGTCTTAATCTGGAAGGTCTGCTAAAATCTTTCCGCCATGGGTGGCCCTGCTTCTATTTGAAATACCGGTGGCATAGCTTCTAGCATCACAGTAACACACAAGCCACCACAGTATAACAAACGGACAGAAGAAGGCTAGAACACTAGCACAGTAGAAGTAAAATGTAATTTACATTAAAATAAATGGAGAACCTCAACTTAAAACCACACATGACAAAGAGTACCTACTGGACATAAAGTAGTATTGAAGAAAATTTAAAAGGATGGCTGTAATTGAGCTACATCTTCACCTATCTAGAAAATATTAAAATACCCAAGAAGACAAGGGAAGTATTTCTCAAAATCTATTAAGACCTTCAACATGAAGTAAATGGAATTGGAAATAGAGAACACTATTATCTGGTGTGTGTTCTTCTATGGCCAAGCAGGGATGGCAGCCAGGATTAAAGGAGAAATTGTACCTACAGTGACATTTCACTGATTTGGCTTCCTAACTTCTAAGTACATGCTAAAAGTAAGCTTGAAAGAAGAAGAAAGAGATACGAAACAAAATCCTGGAGCCAGCTTTGTAATCATGGAGATCAGTGTCATCTGAAAAAAAATCTTTAACTTACCAAAGGAAAGATCTGTCAGTTCAAAATTTTCATTTGGCTTCTTGTTAATTTTCCCTGGAGCCAAAGTAGAAAAACAGACCAAAACTCTAAGAGAATATCCTGTTACCATCATGGAATAGGGTATACTGCTAGCCTAGAAGGATTAGAGGTTTAAATAGAATTAGAAGTAAAGGACACAGGGGCAAAGTTCTGAGACTAAGGGTACTCATGACCCCAGCTTCTACCTTACTCTCCTCTAGCATCCAAAATCCTTACAGAGAATAAAGAAATTCAACATTTAACTTTTCAGCTTCAATTTTAAGGGGAAAATTTATAAAACATTAGATAAAGAGTTGGCAAAGTCAAAGAGTTTCTACTCCTACCGTTTTGACACAAGTAGGGAACCCACGTAGGATTGCAACTGGTAAATATAACTAAGTGTAAAAAAAATCAGAATGTAACCTATGCAAAAATTCTTCAGCCACAGAGTAAAAGAAGAATATTGTATGTAAAAGACAGTCAAAACATAGACTTGGAAAAAAAATTTTCTCTAAGACCCTGAAGAATATTTTAAATTAAAGCTGTGTTACATTCTCAAGGATATTAAAAAATGAACCAGTTGAAATAATGCATGAAATTCGAGTTCATAAGACAGAACAGAGAAAATAAATTTACAAAAAATTATGACGCTATTGCAGTATTTAAAACTACTTTGAAAGAGAATAGAACAGAATCAATACTGTGGAAAACCAAATATGTAGGGAAAACATGATGAAATAATATTAAAAGTAAAGAAACTAGACAAGGAATAGGAGCAAGTAGAGAGAAGATGACTGTTATGAAGATAATAATGGAGATTCAACAGAAGTATAATTGGTGTGCTTGAAAAAGAAAACAAAAAAAAATAAATTAAAAATATTAAAAAATAGAATAGAAATGTTGTGAAATTAAGGAAGGAATGGATTTTCAGATACAAAAGGCAAACTCTATCCCAGAGATAATTTATGCTGGAGACCCCATTCACAGACCATAAGGGAATAGCTGTTGATCATAAAAAGTTGGCTTTGTTTAATAAGTGAGCAATGGAGGGCACCATGTTGACAGAATCTCAGAAGTTAGGAAAGGGTACTAATAGAATTTTGAAGGCTAAGTTTAGTCACAGGATGATTTTAGGGCAAAAGAATGTAAGAATGGTCTGGGCAGGGAATGGTCAGGATATGTGAACTAGGCAAGTTGCTGAACAGTCATTGTTCAGCATATTCAGCATATTCAGTATATTTAGAATACACAAGTCCTTGCAGAGTTACTGTTAGATCAGTTTTTCTAGGGTCTTCTCTTACAGTCTATGAATCTGAACAACCTGATGATAAGCCAATTAAGCTTACTTTGTGTTCTATATCAATATTTGATTAATTTTATCTGTCTTGAAAGTCATAATGTTTTCTGCTTCGTTTCTCTTTGTAAAAGACCAATCTACATTTAGCTATAACCTCGTGATCTTTTTTTTTTTTTTAAAAAATGGAAGTATTTTAAACCGAAGAAAGGAGACTATAAGCATCTGTAAAAAAGAAATATGTCATCTACAAGGGGGAAAAAAGGGTATAATCATCTTAGTAAATTAGATGCCAATAAAAATGGAGAAGTGTCTACATTGTTTTGAAGGGGAAAAAGTGTGATCCAATAACTTCTCTACCCAGTGAAATTGTCATTTATAAGATTAAGTTTATGAATTAAGGCAAAAAAAAAATTGTTAAATATGCAAGAATTCATGAAATATGCAACTCAACCATGCTCCCTGAAAGTGGCTGCATCTTGTATTCCAGATAAGTGAAAGATGAGCCAACATAAAGGACTCATATGGGGAAGTTTTGAAAGGATAAGGAGAAAAATCTGTTTTTGAAGACAGAAAGAGATTATGTGCTAGAGAGGAGAAAATCAATAAAATTGTTGCTTTTAAGATGGTTTGCTATTACTATGTTTTCAATGGACTTTGGCAAAGAAAGAGGAGAAAACTCCTTAAGTTGTTTAGGTCAGAAAGGACCAACAGTAGCTGCTTAAACAATTAACACTTACCTACTGAAGGACTGCTAGAACATTTTCTAGGATCGTAGTACGAAAAAAAAAGCTTATCTTGAAAAGTTAACTTAGTCCCCTAAAACCATAGTACCCAGTTATGGAATCATAACATTGAATTCATAAAACATCCCCTCAGTGGCAAATAACTGTTTTAATATCTTGTAGTAAATAGAAAAGAGCAATGAAATGTGGTGTCACCAGATACCCTGCTGGCTTTAAACTTTTGTAAAGTCCTTCTTTGCCTTCTCTGGCAGCTGTATTTCTTGCCTGAAAGACATTGCTGCTGTCAGCTTGACTCAGTTTTTTAATTCCCTTTTTGGAGTGTGAGTGGTACAGACCAGTGAAAGAGGGCAAAGACTTGAAAGTTCTCAAGTGTGAAATTGAGCCCTTAGCCAAACATTGAAAAAACTCTCTTTGTGGCTCAGCAAAAGTTCCATTAACTTTTGTTTATTTCCTAGTGTCACCGTAGTTCTTCTTGATTATATCTAGCCCCAGCTGTGGAAGTAATAGAAATGGCTTGTGACTCAATTAGTACATGTGGAAACTGTTGTACTATAAAAAATTTACAAGCACCTGAATTTGAGAAAATTTATTTCATCTGTACCTTAAATTATAGAAATTCAACCATCCTTATTGCAGGTTAGCTTGATTTTTATGAACTTCTAGAAGGTAGGCATCAGAACTAATGAGCTGAGACTTTGTAACTATCTATTTTTCTACCACAAAACTAATCTTCACCTGGAACGGCACAAGAAAAGTGACTCTTTTTGGCTTGTTTACAAAGAGCTTTTTGGCGCATTTGTGCAATCATTTTTTAATCTGTTTCTCCCCTTGGAATAGTTGATTTTCAATATTCAAAACTATGATCATTATCTTTCTATGGTATTTCTGAGGTGGAATAAATTATCCTTGGTAGGCAAATCAGCTGAGAAGATGCCTAACACAGTTCTTGGCACACAACTTATGAGCTTCTTTCTTCGATTTTTAGAGATTTTTTACCATAAAATATTTCTGTTCCTCTTTTTCCCGGAGAGGGGCACGGGGTGTCCGGCCGGAGTGCCCGAGTTACTCTGTTCTTCTGGGAGGTTGGTGCGTGTGGGGCCATGGGTTCGCATTTTCAAGATGGCTGAGCTGTCGGACAAGGCCGTGAAGTACTACACCCTAGACGAGATCAAAAAGCACAACCACGCCAAGAGCACCTGGCTCATCCTGCACCACAAAGTATACGACCTGACCAAGTTCCTGGACGAGCATCCTGGTGGGGAAGAAGTCTTTAGGGAACAAGCTGGCAGTGATGCTACCGAGAACTTTGAGGATGTTGGGCACTCTACAGATGCTAGAGAAATGTCCAAAGCATACATCATTGGGGAGCTTCATCCAGATGACAGATCAAAGCTAGCCAAACCTTCAGAAACTCTTATTACTACTATTGATTTTAATTCCAGCTGGTGGACCAATTGGGTGATGCCAGCCATCTCGGCACTGATTGTAGCCCTGATGTACCACCTCTACACAGTGGAAGACTAATCCCTTCCCAGAAGCTAATGAAAGAAAAGACTACTTCAGACACGGGATAGAGAAGCCAATGTAACGGTCTACTGGGAGTGACAGAAACGTCCACTCAAAAATGATTGTGTCTGTCTCTCTTTTTCCTACATTAGAAACAAAACAAAAAGAGCTGTTCTGTTCTTTCTACTCTTGAACTTTTCTTTTAGAGAATGCCTTTTTATTCGTCAACATAATTTTGATGTTTCTCACTACATAATTCAGTTATTGCGCTAAGTATGACCATTTTAAAATACACCTGGCTTTGAAAATACCCCACCAAGCTTGCCTGTCTAGTTGGCATTTAATTCTCTTTGATTTTCAGAATCCTTGGTTATTTAGCAGGATCCCTTCGTGCACTGGTCCTTCAGACCTGATGTCAAGTGTGACTCGGGGTGAGGGGGCAGCCTGTGCGTCTCTCCTGCACATCTTTGTATTTCATCAAATAACCCAAGTATCTCATGTTTCCAATGTGATGTCTTCATCAAGGAAATTAAGAACAGCCCAGAAAGTATAGCTTAAAGGTTTCTAAAATTGTTTTACCTGAAATGGGTGATAAAAAGAAAAGGTGGCCTACAGGACCCATAAAAGAGACTTCAACTTTTCCTTGATTAGGAACACCAATGACATGAACACCTGTGAACTCTGAGAGAAAATTATAACTGCACATTTTCTCAGCTTAACAGTATCCTTCCATTATATCTGTCCATTCTCTCAGCTTAACAGTATGCTTCCAGAGAGGTTCTCAGTTTTGTGGTTTCTAAAGTTTTGGAAGTTCCTCCTTAGAGGCGAAAAGTGTTTTTTACTCTTCTAAGGAAATGTTGCTTCCTCGATTTGTAAAAACACAGATGTGAAGGAGATTATGGTTCATTTGGAATCTGATCTTTGAAGACACGCTGCTGCCAATGGGTGAGTCACCGGGAGTCTGGTGCGGCTCCGTCCACCTTCTCACTGGCAGCTCAGGCCCGGCCGACTAGTCATCTCGTCTTCCATTTACTCTTCTCTGCCCCATCCTTTTTTTCTTTTAAACGTGGAAACTTGAGGGATGGATTTTTTAGACCCTAAATACTTTGTAGTTAGTCATGATCACATGTGTTCCCATTGGCACATAAGCCACATGAGCAGTGGAGTTCTTCAGAAATGGCTAAAACTGTGGGACAGAATTTTGTACTATTATTACAAAGTTAGATTTTTATAATCAATGGCATGCATCCCCCATACTCTGCCTTCTTTGTCACTGAAACTTAGAGTGAATGTAGGCAAAGGGATGGGGAAAGATAACTGTGTTGCAAGTGAAAATTTATCTTGCAGAAGAATTCTTTACTCAAATTTTAATAAACAAAATCATGCCTCTTAAAAAAAAAATTTCTGTTCTTTTTGCAAATCTACTGCCTAATACATCTTACTTTCTCTCTTTAAAATAGATTTCTCAATGTCAAGAACTTGCAAACCCAATAGAAATAGAGTATTTCACACATTATAAAAGGAGGTTTCATTTAAGGGCAACTTATAATTGGACAAAGAGAACCTAACTCTTTTCCAAGCAGTCATGATTTTCAACAAGTCCCACACAAGCAGCGAAGTGTAATATAAATGTTAATGTATCAGGAAAGATGAAACCTCAGTTGGTGGAAATGAAGTATATAAACTAGTTATGATTTATGGTGTTCACCTGCCCTTTCTGGGGTATGGCCCATTTTCCCGTATTCAATATGACCCTATGCTTATAGGATTCCAGGCTCCTATATAGCCACACAACTGTGCAGGGTGATATACAACACCTAGCAAACTGGCAGCCTTCATTAAATATTAAATAATAATAATGCTCATGCTGCCTAACTTACAAAGTAAATACTGCCTCATTTTAAAAGGTCTTAATTTTTCATCTTTATAAGGGACAATACCCTGAATTTATAGTGCTATTTTTATATGATTTACTTTATGGTGCTAGTTTTTTCAAAGATCTAACTTGCCCGGGTTTTCCGTGTCACATCAGAGCAGCTCAGCATGGCCAAGACGCAGTCTTGCCTATTCAGCACTCAGCAGCAAGGATAATTGTACAGGTGGAGCTCTCAGGATAGCAGCCTGTACCCAGATGCAGGTGATGATGCAACTGCTTCCTCTCGTTTTTCTCGAGGTTAACATCTACCGTTAGAGGAGGATAGAAGCACCTGACCTTCCTTCTTTCCCCTCTTCCATGGCAGCCAGCATGAAAAAATGAAAAAAGGCCAAAAATTGGTTTCACTCTATTGAAAGAATTCATCATGGTAGATTTCAAATGACTGTAAACCAACATTCAGAAGTCATAGGTGATTCAGGTATGCATTTTTATCATCGAGAGATCGAACTGCCTTTTTCTTTTCTTATAACACACATTTAGATGGGTGACACTCGCTCCCTATTTGCAATTCTTGGTGTCCCAGTTTTCACCTCAAGCTTTCTCTCCCTTGTAAGACAGCAGATCATAAGCCAAGTGAGTTTTATCAGCTCAGCACCACCACTACTCCCTTCTGAGCTGGGAACTTGTTTCCCAGAACCCCCTTTCCTGTCTGGTTACAGACTCATTTGCCAAGAAGAGGTACTCGTGGAAGTTTGGGAAGGCGAAGTGAAGAGCAAGCCATTACTCCTGGGAGGTCACGGCAATAACGTGTGGCAGCTTCGGACACTTTCTACCAACTCACACCAAGCAGGCCTAGGGGCCAGATACAACCTGTTCCTAGTTCAGCTTCCCGGCTACTCCAGGGCTTCAGACTGAAATCACTAGCGATTGTTTCTTCAATCCACTGGCGGCAGCTGTCCAGCTCCTGCTATATTTGTGCACTCCCCAATTTCTATATTAAATCCTTTATTCCCAGAAAAATCGCAGTGACTCGTTCCTGACCAAACTCTGCCTGACAAAACTCAGAGAAAGTGATGTTATAGGCAGAGCCTTGTATCCACTCTGATTTATAAAGAGAAAAAATTATTCAAGATCATTAGCACTTTATTGTTAACACCAATGATTAAGGTGCATGTCATGAATATGAAAAAAGCTATGTAGTGTGACACTGTGGTCAAGACACTCTAGCTCTGTGATTATTGTTGCTATTATGACTTCTCTGTCTTGTATTGTTGTTGTGGGTAGCTGCCATCGAGTCAGCTTTGGCTGATAGCATTCCCACGAACAACCCAAAGAAAGTTGCCCGTACTTGTGCTATCTTCATGGTCATTGGGATGCCTGAGTCCATTGTTTCAGCCACTGTGTATTTTAAGTGCCTTTCAACTTAGGGGGTTCACCTTCCATCACTATATCAGATAGTATTCTGTTGTAATCCATAGGGTTTTCATTGGCTTATTTTTGGAACTAGATCACCAGGCCTTTCTTCTTAGTCTGTCTTAGTCTGGAAGATCTGCTGAAACCTGTCCACCATGGTTGACCCTGCTGGTATTTGTGATACCGGTGGCATAGCTTCCAGCATCATAGCAACACACAAGCCACCACAGTGCAACAAACTGACAGGTGATGATGATGTTATATATTAGCTACTGAAATTCCCTCTAGTAAAGAAATAGTATGAATGGATGCCTATTGTTCACCTAAGCAATAATTCTCCAGGTATATATATATATACAGACAGACAGATAGATAATATAAAATAAGACTTTAACAAAGAAACAAAATTTACATGCTTTACTCTCATTACACAAACTCTCATCGGGGATACATATAACACACTCCTTACTATCCTGTTTGTTTATGGTAACTTTCTGTGAATCCTGAAAACCTACCTTCTCTTTTGTCTAACCAGGAACAAAAGAGCAATCCCTCCAATCATCACTTTGTGTTCATTCTCCCTTTTTTCTGTAAGGAGTCTTCTGAGTGAAAAAGTGAGTGTGAGGTACTCTACCAAAGAGTGGAACAAATATGGGCTTTGAGTGGAAAGACCTGGCTTGGAGTACACCACTTATTGGGTATTAAACACTGGGTATGCTCTGTAAACTCTCTGGACCTCAGTTTCTTACCTGTAAAATAGGGGAGATAATTCCATATGCAAAAGTATATGACAAAGATTAAGTACTCTGAAGCAAGGGCAATGTGTCTACCACATCACAAGTATTCAGTGAATGTTAGTTTACTGGGCAAGACCTGAAGTCTCTAAGCTTCAGCTTTCTTAGCTATAAAATGTGGTATTAATAATACTCGGTCATGAGGGTGCCATAAGATAAAATGACATAACGCTTAGCATCGGGCCTGAAATATACTGAGAAGTTAGTCAATGGTAGCTACTAATGTTGTTATTGTCATTATTGAACCTTCACCAGAGTTATGATTTATGGAGTTATCAAGGACAGCTCTTTTTTTGGTTAATGAATCCCAAGGTAGAACTCAAAATTACACGAATGTTAGAATACAGACTTTCTGGAGCCATTGAGGCTGTATGAACCTCCAAAACTGTTCCCCTGAGATAATCTTTAAACCTTAAACCAAAATTATCCCTTGAAGTCTTCTTTAAACCACACAATAAGTTAGCTTATTTAGTAAAGAATGTTTGCTTCAACATCGTGCTCTTTGAGGAACTATCTATATGGGATCAAACAGACAATAGCAACTTGAAAGATCAGATAGGAAGTGTAGGGGGCAGTGAGTTCATGATAATGGGGGAAGAACAATTCAGAAAAGAAGGGCAAGAATGGTTGCATAACTTGAAGAATGTGCACTGAATTGTGCATATACAACAATTTGAATTAATATATATTTTGCTGTGTGTACTTTCAACAACAATTTTAAAAAAATTACATGAGTGGCCAGAAAAATCTCCCTTGGTCCTGGAGTCACTCTTGCCATTAGAGGCTAAGGCCTCTAGTGTATTATCTTTGAATTGATATTCCAGCACCTCTAAGGCTTGTTTCATTCACTGACTGTCCTAAGGCCTGTATTAATATATTTGCCTTCTATTTCATTAATTGAGATTTAGAAGAAAACATAAATAGTTTGCCTATTATGACTTTAAAGACT